GCTTAGCTTAATCCGAACTTAAATTCTATAGTGTAGTTTACTTACTCCCTTGGGATTCGATAACCCCTTATACTATGACTGCTTTGTTGTGCACTTGCACTAGTTTTTATTTGGGTAAAGCCTGAGCCCTATCATGTTGCTTCTCAGATCGGCTATGATTTCGTTTGTTGTGTTTCTCCACATGGAATTGGGGCGGGGGTTACCTTTATTATGGACTAAGTCCATAGATGTATGTTTCCATTTTTGTAATGAAAGAATGCTCGATTGTAAGATATTCAATAAAGAGTTTTCTTTCTACTTGTCGTGTGTCTACGGTCATCATATTCGAAAACTAAGGCATCATCTCTGGGAACAACTCGAGAGAATTTCAAGCAACAGAGTTGGCCCTTGGCTAATGTGTAATAATTTTAATGAAGTTTTAAATCAAAATGAAACAAGAGGAGGTTGTATGAGAGATGCGTGGAGTCTAGTGGATTTTTGAAATATGGTTATCAACTGCAGTGTTACAGGCTTACCGTTTACTGGAAATAATATTACATGGGTGGGGAAAAGAAGAGGAGGTTTGACAGTGGAAAGTTGGTTGGATCGTGCAATGGCTAATGATGAATAGAGGGCTGAATTTCCAACTTTGGAGGTTCAATATTTAAAAATGATTGAGTCTGATCATAGACAGGCAATTCTAAAAATAAGAAAGGAACGTGATCATGGCCGGAAGGTTTTTAGGTATGATACAAGATTTAGCCACCATGAGGACTTTGAACATATTGTTTGAGATGGCTGGAATTCTGTTGTCTCCACAAGTGCTCAACCAATATCAGATCGAATAAGGCAGTGCAGACACAACATCTCTGAGTGGAAACGCTCAACACCTTTGAACTCAGCTAAGCGAATTTAGGATCTGATAAACAAGATTGACTTAGCACACTCTGATTCCTCTTACACCACCAAGATTATTCGAGACCTGAGATCTCAACTGATAGCGGCCTACAAGGATGAAGAATCTTACTAGCACCTTAAGAGCCGGAATATGTGGCTAAATAAAGGAGATCGTAAAACCCGGCATTATCATGCTTGTACCAAGAATAGAAGAACAGGCAATAAAATCTCATCTATCAAAGATCATATCGGCAATGATCTCTATGGTAATAAAGATATTGCAAACGAAGGAAAACATCACTTCTTTGAGCTTTTCCAATCTTCAAGTAATAATGCAGCTATTGAGAGAGCCGTACAATTTCTTTCGACAGTTGTCTCTCCAGATATGAATGCTATCCTCATTCAAGATATCTCGTCTGAAGAAGTTCGTATAGCTATATTGTTAATAGAAGGAACAACCCTGATGGCTTTACTGCACATTTCTTTCACAAATATTGACATATTGTTTGTTCTAATATTGTGAAAGCTACTAAACTTTTCTTTGAAACCGGCAACATGGAGGCTAATCTTAATCACACCAATATATGTTTAATACCGAAGGTAGACATGCCGATCAAAATGCAAGATTTCAGGCTCTTTGTAATGTCCTTTATAAAGTCATCTCCAAAATTATGGTTTTCTGTCTCAAAGGCATTTTCTCTCAAGTGGTTTCCGAAAATCAATCAGCTTTCATTCCTGGAAGACAAATCACAAATAACATTCTTCTTGCACACGAAACACTCCACGCTCTACGAGTTCGCCGGCGATGTGCAAATTCTTATATGGCTGTAAAAACTGATATAAGCAAGGCTTGTGATCGCATAGAATGAGATTTTTTGGAGACAGTTCTTCGAAATAAAAAAGCTTCTCAGAAAAATGGATAGATTGAACAATGACTTGTGTACGCTCGGTCTCTTTCTCTGTACTGATTAACGGGAGTCCTTACGGCAAATTTACACCTTAAAAAGGAGGCCTCCGGCAAGGTGATCATCTATCCCCATACCTCTTTATATTATGTGCGGGTGTTCTTAGCTCTTTAATGACTTCAGCAACACGGAACCATGAAATAGATCCCATTAGACTTAGCATTGGTGGCCCCATATATCTCATCTTCTATTTGCTGATGATTCCCTCTTCTTTGTGAAAGCTGATCAACAGAATAGTCTAAATCTAACTAAATTTTTTAAAATTTATGGCCAAGCTTCCGATCAGGTTATAAATTTTGATAACCTTTGGTGATGGTGTGTACCATCATACCCGAGAGACTATCAAACATCTCCTACAAATACCAAACACTGGAGGAGGTGGGAAATATCTTGGTTTGCCAGAACAATGTGGACGCAGAAAAATGGAAATGTTTCAGTACATTAAGGAAAATGTAACTCGAAAAGTCAATGGTTGGCAGAACCGTTTCTTATCAAGGAAGTACTCATCAAATCAGTGGCTTTTGCAATGCCTGTATACTCGATGAATTGCTTTCAATTACCAATAGAGATCTGTTCTGATTTAGACAATTTAATCTCCAAATTATGGTGGGGCGGGTCTCCTAACCAACGTAAGATATCTTGGATTTCATGGAAAAAACTGTCGACTGCAAAGGCTCAAGGAAGACATACTGGTTTTCCTATTCATCACATTACTGATCCCCAAGTGTCCTTTGAAGATAAATTATCCTCTCTGATATCTATGACCTCTCAGGCGTCCTCACTGCAGAATGGATATATCCTCCCATACTGGATCCTTCGGCAGTTGTAAAAAGTAGAAATGATCTAGCTTTTAATAACCATGCGCTACAGATAGAACAACTTTTCAAGCGTGCGATGGAAGCTACTAAGGAATGGATGGACAACTCACATGTAGACCTGATTAATGCATTACGTCTACCACATACCACTCAAACTTCCATTTCTCAACAATGGACAACGCCTCCTCTAGGATAGATGAAATGCAACTACGATGCTCCAAATCATGTAAATACCAGACATTCAGGTATGGGGTGGCTTGTACGAAATTCACATGGTACTTTTCTTGATGGAGGAATGGGCAAATATCAGGTACGTTATACTCCTGCATAAGCAGAATGCTCGGCACTCATCTGGGCTCTCCAGTCAACATTGTCTTTAGGATACACAAGGCTAATTTTCGAAGGTGATAACATCAATATGGTGAAGATAATTAATAATGAAGCCCACAATCTCTGTTCGGAATCTCGGTAGGCGTTCATCGGGCGCTCTATCGAAGCCTAGTAATTTTTTCAAAAATCAGAAATAAATCGGAGATGAATGTTTTAAAGATTAATATCATAAATTTTCTTATAAGTATAAGTTTTGTCAAAATTAAAAATTAATAACATAATTTTTTATCATATAAGTATAAGTTCTATCTAAATTACAAATTACTAACTGCTCTTTCATTATATAGACACCACCAAAAACCTCTTTCCCACACAATATACATCTCAACTTATCTGTATTTGTTGGATTAAACAAGATTTCATAATCCCATCCTACATCATTTAAATTTTGCTTTAAACTCTGAAGAGGAGTAGGTGTATCTGTTGGTGGATTATCCATCAATCTCTAACCTGAAAATAAATGTAACTTGCTTCACTAACGATGAGCATAACCAGAAAACAAAATTCAGAACTGAATTTTTAAAAACTAACACATATAATCAAATTCAGGAATTAGCATTACCCAAATTAAAGAAACAAATTTGAATAACAAACTTAAATTCATCAATGTTGATCTTAGCAAAAAAAAAATGATTATGATTTTAAAAACTCAGAAATCAGAAAGTTACTACCAAATTCATCAAACTCATACACTTCAAATACCAACTAAAACAACAATCAGCAATTGAACTATTTCTTGCCATCTAAAATCATCAAATCAACACTCTAATAGAAGTGTTATTCACCAGTTTACAGATTTTGTATAAGAAGTTTAAATAACAAAATACAGAAGCTCAAAATTACCTGGAAAAGCTTCAGTCAAGTAATGGTTTGATGCAGATGACAGATGATTTGGTTCTTGTTGATTAATTGAAATTAGGGTTTGCTGTGAGAGAAAATCAGAAACTGCGATGATGTCGGGGAAGGAGAAGAAGACCGTGGCTCAACCAAATTGTATGTTTGAGATTTTTGATGGGCTTAATGGGCCAAATTTAAAGTAGTCCAATTATTATTACAGGCTGATTTTCACCGAACATCGCCAAACATCGCTTTTTAATCTGCCCACTGTTTAAACTACCGATTTGCTCTAAATTGCAGCGTCGTCCCTCTGCCGCCTGATTTCACCGCCGTCGACTCGTTACGACGCCCGAGTTTTCGAACAAGGCCCACAATATGAAGCTGCGACACTACATTCATACTATCAAGAACTGTGTCTAGGTTTGTGAACTCATCACAGGGGCTTTCACATCTTTGAGTGGCTTTCTTCGATCCACCATCTATTCATCTCATCCACTAATCAAGCCTGAAAGAGACCTAAGTCCAACCGGTCTAATCCTACAACTATCCCACTTCGATCTTTTTTTAAGCAAGTAGAAGAGATCTAAGCCCAACTGCTTGCTTCTGCCGATTCATCCAAGCATTATAAGATCATATCTCCTTATTTAATATCAGAAAATAGATAATATATATCATAAATAATTATTTTATGATGAATTTATAGTATAAAACATATATTAGTCAAAAATATGAAAAGAATCATAAATATTTATATAAAATTACCTATAGAAAAATAATAAATACTTTTTTTAATAACCAAACATTATATAAAAAAAATTACTATTGTATTTTAAGTAATGTAAAAATTATTTAAATCAAATTCATATTAAATAATTTATAATATATACTCGCAAAAACCTAATTAGTTTAATATAAAATAAAATGAATGGAAGATTTTTAATGTATTTGGTATTTGTGGAATGGAAACTTGTTTCCATTTCTAAGAAATTTCTCTTTATTCTATTAATTTATCAGCTTAGGATAAACCGGTAACCTGGTCTTATTGGTGAATTTCCAGTATCAACCAAACCGGAAATTGCTGTGTAAAAAAAAACTAAAGCGGAATTGGTAGTAGGCCCCACCATCTATCTTCTTCACCATAGTATCTTACGGCTGAGCTTGGCGGAGAAACGGTAGTCTGAAGTCTCGATACTGCGATCTACGTTTTCCCGATGACATCCTTCTTAATATCCTCCATGCTCTCTTCCTCTATCTTTCCTACCGAAAATCGCGGCCGTGTTCGAATACCGGCGACTTCAATTCCTGGAGGTAGCATTGTTCGCGCAGTGAAACGGCGGTGTTCCAAAATTGTCGCCAAATCACTCGATCTTCCGCTTCTTCCCTTCAGCATGAGCGAGGTTAGCAGCATAAACCTAATATCTCAGCAAAATTATAATTTGAATTCCTTGTGAGAAACCGTAGTTTTCAAGATTTAACAAAGTATGTGAAAAAGAGAATCTGATTATCACACTGTCTAATCGTGATTATCAGAATTATGGAGTAAGAATAAACAGAATGCGAATAAACTTTAATTAATCGAAATAGAATTTGAAACTTGTTGTCTACATTAAGACAAAATTGATTTATATAGAAAACAAATAGACACTACAAACATGATGAGTTGTGTCTCTTCATACTCGTATCTCTCAAATGAAACAATTCAAAGTGAAATGTCACAACCGTTTACAAAACTCAATTATCAACCAACACTCCCCTTTAATTGAGTTTCCGTCTATCTCCAAATTTGCTTAATTAGTTCTTCAGACTTTGTGAAGCTAACAACAACTGCTTCATCTCAAACTCTAACTTCATGCCTTCCTTTTAAGTTATTTCTGCAAGGGGGTGTCTTCACATCTTCTCCGTGAACCTTCTTTTTCTTCAAAAATCACGTCTTCTTCATCCCACTTCACCATTTGTGAAGTATCTTCTCCTATTTCTTCTTCACATATCACGTCTTTTGACATCTTCTTCTTGGCCGTTGTGTTTCATTTGGTGACTATCAATTCACCTTTACATGCAAGCATTTTCCATGTCTCCTTCAATTCTACAGTGAGCTTTTGTCACATTTCCTGTGGTTATTTCTGTAACAGGCTTATCCTCCTCTTTTTTTTCTTAGGTAAGCAGCCTCCTTTCTTGCGTGGTGTCGTCCTTTGATCACCATCACATCTCGTTGACGTCTGTGCGTGAAACTTCTTACGTCTTCTTCTTCTTCTTCTTCTTCTTTTTTTTTTTTTTTTTTTTTTCCTTCTTACGTCTTCTTCGGTTTATCTGTGTAACAGGTACCCGTCTTGTGCCGTGCCTGAATCTTCTTCTCCACGTCTTCTTTGGTTATCTGTGTAACCGATTACCATCTTGTGCCGTGCCTGAATCTTCTTCTCCACGTTTTTTAGGTTACAACCGGTTCTGTATCTTGCCTTGCTTGGTGTTTTCCTTTGATCACCAGCCTATTTTACTTTAACCGTCTGTTTGGTTGCTTCTTTAGTCATCACCTAGCTTTCTCCAGCCGTAGGCTCTTTGATTTCTTTTTTTTTTAGGCTATGCTCTGTTTCTTCCAATAAACAGCTTCCTCTGTGTTGACGTCATCCTCACAAACTCGCTCTGTCCTTACCGGCACACCCACGTCCTTTCTCGGACCTCATCTGTCCGACGACTGGTGCGTTATTTTTTTTCAGAGCCCAACCGATTTATTTACTAACTCTACAATCATTCCATAATCTTTCTCTGTGTTTTGGCCTCACTCACATGGTTTCAGAAATTACTTCTCGAAAGATTATCCATCCTAGTCCTGTTCTAGCTCTAGCTCAAGCATGCTTAACTTTGAAGTTCTCTCAGGCCCACTAACCGAAAAGATAAGTGCACTTTGGTGACATAGGTAGCCAAATCAATCTATTTAAACTTATTCAAATGGCTAGACCCGGGTCGTTACAATTCTCCCCCACGAAATGGGAATTCATCTCCGAATTCGGATCGGGACCATGTGAGCTCTAAGCCCCAAACCCTAAGACAGTCTCCAGAGACAGAACCAACTTTTCAGGCTCTGATACCACTTGTAACGCCTCTGAACGCCCCTACCGATGAGCACACCCACGTCCTCTCTCGGGCCCGTGGGCACATCCTTATCCGACAGCCGGTCCGTTATATTTTTCCGGAGCCTAACCGACTTATTTACTTATCCTGCAATCACCACATGATCTTTCCCTGTGTTTTGGCCTCATTCATACGATTTCAAGAATCACATTCCGAAAAGTCACTCATCTTAGTCCTGCTCTAACTCAAACAGGCTTATCTATAAAATTTTCTCAGTCCCACTAACTTTAATAATATAAGTAACCAAATCAATACATTTAAATTTATTCAAATGGAATGGATCCGGGTCATTATAATTATTCCGTAAAAAAGAGACACGATCTTCATGTGTTTGAAGGGTTTTTCAACTCTACCACCGATAGTGTAGTTAACTCCTTCATTAAAGCTTTCTTCCATTGATTTTTTAATTACACCCCTTCTGTGTCTCTTTTGATCGTCTTGGTCGGTTTGAAACTTCGTCTTCAACCACCGCAAACAAATCTTGGGTCTTTAAGATAGCCTTCATCTTAATTTACCAGAAAACCCTCCCCATCAAACATGAGAATCACTAGTTGCAACCTTGTTGCCATGATCTCTATTTTTGCTCGAATTTTCTACAAGTACTTTTTGCTGAAACCTTTTGAGGAATCATTGCCTTTCCTAGTGCTTCACCAAGCCATTGTCGAACATGGTTTCAAAATTCTCCTTCCACCACAACTTCAAACTCCACTGTTTTCTCCATTGCATTTTGAGAAGATTCCTATCTCCTTCGTAACTTTTGGAGCCTTCTTCTTGAAGGTACGTCATGTGGATGTTTTTGTGAAGGTTGATGGCGCTCTCTCTTGTCACCACCTCTTTTTTTCTATTTCTTCTTTTTTTCGGTTTCTCTGTCATTGTCGTCTCCATCTTTCTCTTCTTCTTGCAGCGGATTTTTTCTTATTCTTGTTGTGCTTGAACAGGTTTCAAGACCAAGATAAGCTCTCCTATCATGTTGGAAACCGTAGTTTCCAGTATTTAACAAAGTATGTGAAAAAGAGAATCTGATTATCACTCTGTCTGATCGTAATTATCAAAATTATGGAGTGATAATAAACAGAATACGAATGAACTCAAATTAATCGAAATAGAATCTGAAACAATTCTCTAACGATGTTTCTCTCTCTAACTTCTCTCTCTAATTTCTCTCTCTCTTTCTCTCGTGACGAAGATGAAATCAAAACCCAGTTTTCTGTTTCAATTCTTACTGTGAGTCTTGTCCGTCGGTTGTTCCGAATCTTAGGGGATGGCAATGTCGGTTTTTATCCGTTGAGCAGTTACTCTAACGGTTATTCTTCCCCTTCTCTCACATCCAGAACCAGAGAAAAACCGCCATGGTTTCACTGCTATATATACGTGCCTTACGCTCTCTATTACTGTATAATTGTTACTCCGCCTTTCTTCCTGATGAGTGACAACATCCGCAGAAAAATGCAGGATATCGATTTGGGGCATTCTGAATCCCCAATTGCTCTACCCCAATCCATTTGCACTGAAGCGGTTCAAGCGAACCGTTATGCAATCATTGGCACCCTCCTTAACCCCAAACGACAGAACCTTCGCGCTTTGATCACTACGATGCCACACCTATGGGGTCTAAGCGACGCAACCATTGGACGAATTTTGGATATCAAAAAATTCCAGTTCGTGTTTCAATCAGAGGAAGCTGTGAATCTAATACTTCAAAGGGGTCCTTGGTCCTTCAACGAATGGATGATTGTAACGCGACGTTGGACACCAACGATTACAGACAAAATGCTCAAAATCATACCGTTCTGGATTCAACTACGGGGCATCCCACCACAGTTTCTCAACCGTACTCTCATTGAGTATATTGCCTGCAAACTGGGAATGATGGTGGATATTGACTTTAATGAAGCGGCGCAAGTTACTGATTTCGTGCGCATCAAACTCGCTTGGAACATTGATACACCTCTTGTCTTCCAGCGTGTCTTCCAGTTCGTGTCGGGTGAGAACATGATTCTCAAACTCCGTTATGAAAGGCTACGCAACTTCTGTTTAAAATGTGGTCTGCTCACACACGAGGCCAAAGAATGCCCATTGCTTCACGATGCCGAGGATTCCCATGACGACCCTCCAGATCCACCGAATGATGATGAAACAGAGTCAGCGGGTACCATTTTCCCGAATCCACCCAACAATCCTCTGGAATCTCCAACTCCCGTTGCTGAGAATAGCGATGATGACACCAAAGGGTGCCATGACAATACACCTTTCGAAATAAGAGAGGATACAGACATGATATCAGAAACATGGCGTTACCTTCAAGCCAAGATGGAGAGGGGTAAATTTACAGAAGGTGATTTCACGGCTCTGTTGAAGGATTATCTCGCTCAGGAGGAACACTCCGGTTTTGATGACTCTAAACGTAGCGAGGTCGAAGCAATGCTTCGCAAATTTGACAATGCCGAGTCAAGCTTCATGGCGGCTTCGTATCATCGAGGTTTCACAGACGATTCAGTCACACCAATACCGGGAATCACTCCGACAACTGCCATCCCTCACAACCACTCATACTCTGATATGTCTTCTGAGTTCGACGCCTTTGTCTGTCCTCACGAGCGCCCATCTCCTGCCAAACGCAAAAGCAATGATGAGAGGTATGACATAGCCCCTACCAACAACCTCTCCTACGGCTTCCTGGATGAATATGCAACGCATAAACGTCACGCCGTCACTCCTGCTGCTATCAATGATCTGAAGGCCCTGTTTCCGATCAAGTTGGAGAGCGATGATGAAGACCACGAACACTCATACAGCGTTGCGCAGATAAAAAACAACAACTACGGAGGTCCTGTGCCTCCATGTCTCTGAAGAACGCCCTTCAGATAATCTCCTGGAATTGTCAAGGCCTAGAATCGCCTCTTACAAAACAGAGATTGAAGTAGATGTGTCGTAAGATTCAACCAGATTTACTATTCTTAATCGAAACAATGAATAAGTGTGATGTAGTGAGAGATGTTTGCTCTCTTTTAGGATTTGATTTCTCTTCTACTATTCCTCCACAAGGTCATAGTGGTGGTTTGGCTTTGTTCTGGAAAAAAGACATATCTATTACTACTTTGTACCAATCGATCCGTATGATCGATGTTTCAATCAATTTCAATGGTATAAATTTCTATTTGTCTTGTGTCTACGGACATCCCAATCGCTTACTTCGTAATGATCTTTGAGAACGGATAGAACGTATAAATCAAACACGCGATGGACCTTGGCTTCTTCTCGGTGATTTTAATGAAATCTTAACTAATACAGAAAAGATAGGAGGCCCTCGTCGTTCTGAACACTCGTTTCAGAGTTTTAGGAATATGTACAATTCCTGCGATTTCACGGATTTGCGCCATAAGGGCAACAAACTGTCTTGGCGTGGAATAAGAGGCCACCATAGAGTCCGCTGTTGCTTAGATCGCGTTATTGCAAATTCTCAATGGCTATCTCTGTTTCCCGGATCAGTTGCAGAATTCCAACGTTTTTGCGCCTCTGATCATCGACCTATTGTTATTTCAGTCGATTTTCTTCATCACCAAATACCTAAACAATTTCGTTTTGACAAAAGGTTGCTACATCATCCAAAATTCAAAGATGTAATACGTCAGAGTTGGATATCCACATCGTATAATCAATGTCCTACGCTTACTACTAGTCTTCGTCATATTCGCGATGTTATATCCTCTTCTCGAAAGGAGTTTCAGACAAATTCAGCAAAGCAAATAGATTCTATTCAGTTAAAACTAGATTTCGCCCTTACCTCGACGCATCAAACAACATACTTCATACCAGAATTACAACAAGATTTAGCAAAGGCTTATCGTGATGAAGAAACCTTTTGGCATATGAAAAGTCGGAATTCATGGCTCCTTCATGGCGATCAGAACACAGAATTCTATCATGCTGTAGCCAAATCTCGATACACAAAGAACAGGATTCATTCAATTACGGACAACGAAGGCCATACACTTTACGGAGATAGAGATATTGGGATACACACTGTAGACTATTTCCGAGATATGTATAAATCACAAACAACTACTCCCTCCTCAACCATCTTTCACAGTTTCAGACCTACTGTTACCACAGAAATCAATCAAAACATAACCCGCCCAATCATAACAACAGAAGTCTTCGAAGCTGTTTGTAGCATAGGAGCTGATAAAGCACCCGGCCCCGATGGTTTCACGGCGAGATTCTACCAAGAATGCTGGGATATTGTTGGCGACAATGTCACCTCACAAGTGTTACATTTTTTCAGTACAACAACAATGGAAGAAGGGATCAATCATACTAATATATGTATGATTCCTAAAACAAAATCCCCGACGATTCTCTTAGAATTTCGCCCGATTGGTCTTTGTAATGTATCATACAAAATCATTTCAAAAATCTTAGTCTCACGCCTCAAACTCTACTTAAACTCTATCGTCTCTGAATCACAAGCGGCCTTTGTCCCTGGCCGTATGATATCCGATAATGCCCTTATCGCTCATGAATTAATGCATTCACCGAAAAGCCGTAAACGAGTTTCTCAAACGTATATGGCAGTAAAGACTGATATGACAAAGGCCTATGATCGTGTTGAATGGACATTCTTGGAAGATACTATGCGAGCATTTGATTTCAATGATACGTGGATACGTTGGGTTATGACGATGGTTACTACTGTTACTTACTCAATGCTCATCAATGGCAAACCACAAGGACATATAACCCCTAAACTTATTTATACTTTGCGCTGATGTGTTAAGTCATCTAATTGATAATAATGTTATCAAGGGCAAAATAAATGGGATCAAAATAGGGAACGTTGTACCCCGTATCACTCATCTCTTTTTTGCAGATGATTCCCTTTTCTTTTGCCAAGCTAATAAAAAGAACTGCTCTTCACTAAGGGATATCTTCCAACTATATGAACAATGTTCCGGTCAAAAAATAAACCAAGAAAAATCCATGATTACATTCGGCTCACGAATTCCTGGACAGCGACAAAACATGTTAAAGAATTGTCTTGGCATCACTAAACATGGAGGAGGAGGGAAATACCTAGGACTTCCGGAACAATTTGGCAGAAAAAAAAAGGAAATGTTTGGTAACATTACAAACCGTGTTCGTGCACACACTACCTCTTGGAGTTCTAAATTGTTCTCACATGCTGGCAAAGAAGTGTTACTTAAATCAGTTGCAATGTCAATGCCAGTTTACTCCATGTCTTGCTTCAAACTACCGAAGCACATTATTTCTGAGCTTACTAGTATCTTTACTCAATTCTGGTGGGGTAAAGGGAATCAATCCAAATGTATACCATAGATAGCCTGGAAACGACTTCAATATTTAAAAAGAGAAGGTGGTCTTGGCTTTAAGGATTTGGCAAAATTTTAACGACGTCTTATTGACAAAACAAGCATGGCATCTCTTAAAACACCCAAATTGTCTATTTGCAAGAGTTTATAAAGCTCGATATTACAAAGACGACCATCTGTTCGAAGCTAAAACCAAACCATACCAGTCTTATGGCTGGTCTTCCATTCTTACTGGAATCAATATACTTAAACAAGGCTCTCGGTATATTGTTGGAGATGGTCACCAAATACGTGCTTTCTAGGATAATTGGTTACCCACACACCCACCACGGCTCCTTCGATCTTTACATAGCAATGATACTATGCTTGTTTCTGACCTTATTATACATACTGACGCCCGTAAACAATGGAATACTCTCCTTCCTCAGGCTTCAACTTCGGATCAAGATTGTACTTTAGTACAATCCCTCTATCTCAGCCACTTTAATAATACTGATCATTTGATATGGCCATACACCAACTCAGGACAATACACTGTCAAATCTGGTTACTGGTTCTTACGACATCATCCGGGCTTCCAGCAAACATTACCGGAAATTCCTCATGGGGACCCTCTAGTTAAACAGCAAATATGGAAACTGCGAATCATGCCAAAATTAAAACACTTTATATGGAAGATCCTCTCCAAAGCTATTGGTTCCTCTACACGCATTCAAAGTCGTGGTATTTCACTCGACAATACCTGTGTCCGTTGCGGCTTGGAACCAGAAACAATCCATCATTTTTTTTTTACTTGTCCAGTTTCGATCCTCTCCTGGCGTCTTTCTCAAACACCTTTATACTCCCTAACAATCTCATCGCAGGATACAGAGAGTGTAATACGATCTCTTCTTGCAGCTCAGAACACAGATGGCCTTTCTGATAAGGATAAACTGTTGCCATTTTGGTTACTCTGGCATATATGGAAATCTCGCAACTCCCTCATTTTCCAGAAACATCATGTTCAGCCTAACCAGATTATACTCAAAGCTAGGACAGATGTTGATGACTGGACTCGGGCTACTCAACACCAGTTACCCACCCTTCAACATCCTATTCTAAAACAACACTGGAAACGCCCGCCACTAGGCTCTCTTAAATGTAATTATGATGCCTCTTTCAATAGTCATACCGGCCAAACCACTGCTGGTTGGATCCTCCGCGATTCCAATGGATTTTGTCATTTCTGGAGCTCTGCACACATAGGACAATCTCTATCTAGTCTTGAAGCAAAAAGAAAAGCTCTACTCCTCGCGATGCACAACACATGGACAATGGATTTTACTCGCATTTGCTTTAAAGGAGACTGTCAAGTCCTTGTCAATCTACTTACCTCCAACGAACAGGATTCAACAATACCGAATTTATTAACTGATATTCGAATCTTGATGACAAAATTTAATACGCTAGAAATTAATCATATCAAAAGGGATTGCAACTTTGCAGCACATTCCCTAGCTATTCGTAGAGATTTTGGTTTCGATTATAGCAACCCCCGAACTGGCTTTTGCCTATTTTGTATTCCGATATCATGAATTCGTAATAATATAATTATATTTCGACAAAAAAAAAAAGAATCTGAAACTTGTTGTTTACATTAAGACAAAATTGATATATAGAGAAAACAAATAGACACTACAACATGATGAGTTGTGTCAGTTCATACTCGTATCTCTCAAATGAAACTATTCAAACTGAAATGTCACAACCATTAACAAAACTCAATTATCAACCAACATTCCTGAGTTTAACATAATATGGTTACAGGTTCTTGTGCCAACGGAGAGTAAAACGCTGCATTTGTATGAAGCAAGGTACTTGGCTTTACTTGAGGAGGTATATACAATATAATCTATGGATTCTAAGATTATTATTATATGGATTTCACAATTGTATGTTTCATTGAAACTGATAGTTACTTGGTTTTTTTCCAGTCGATGAAAAGAAAGAAGAATATGTTTGTTCATTTCATTCTTGACCCTATTTCCATTAGCGAGACTGCAACAGAAGCATCCTTTGCTGCTAGATATGGTTGCTTGGTTCTCATTGAAAACGTAAGCTTTTGATCAAGAAAAGTTTGGTCTTTTTATGTGTTGTTGATGAGTTAAGCTAAGAGCCACAAATTGCAGGTTGAGAGATTAGATATTGGCGCACTTGTATCGATAAGAGGCGCTGGTCGTGTCAAGATATCGAGGTTTTTAGGGGTAAGAATGCAAAATTTGGAGTAATATTTTGGTTAGACGAAAACTTTAGGTAACGACTAAATATGTGATCGTTTCTCTTGTGGGCTAGAACTATATTAAGAGATTTTTTTTTCAGTACAGCCTTAGCTTTAACCGAAAATGTTATTCAAATCTTAGATTTATTGCCTTATGCTATGAAACAGTTTGATGTATCTTCTCTTTCTTCTTGCATTTGTTGTTATCGGTTAGGTTCTTAAGGACGAACATCTCTTTTCCTTTCCATTTGACGAAATTTTCTTAAGTGGTTGTCTTCATATGGAATATATGTTGTATCGGAAGATGAGTTTTTTTAACTATATGGTTATTGTTTCAGGCAGATCCTTATTTGTCCGGAGAGGTCAGGCCAATTAAAGATCGTTTGGTTTATGAGAGCAGCGATGAAATAACCTCAAAAATTTCCCAGCTGAAGGAGTCTATTAAGAATCTCAATAGCTTGGAGATCAAACTTAAGGTGCAAACTTACTTAAACCTCTCTCTGTTTCAAGAAAATAGAAGCGTAAAGATCTTTTACCGTTAATGTTCTTAGAAGTTGAAGTGTTGGATTATCTCCTTGTGTAACAGACTCCAGAAGACTCTCCGTTACAAACTCGTCTCTTTAACTCGTTAAAATGGGCTGAAGATGAGCCACCGGAAGAATGTGACGAAACGTTCTTTCCTTCACTTCAAGAACGTCTATCGTTCGCTGCATTTCAACCCGTTTCTGGTAATCTCACATCTTTTCTCTCTTGTGTTTGAAGCATTTCAGTCTACAACTATCTGATTTCGTGACTGGGAGTTGCTTTTAGGATTGTTGATAAGAACGAATCTCCGGGTTTTTTTTTCTTGTCTGTAGGATCATCGCAGTCGGAACTGTCAAGGTTACAGCAAGAGAAATTGAAGGTAATGGATATGAAAGATACAATAGAGAGGTTAGAACTCTCAATGGGACTCATCAAAGAGAACACTTCCTCAATTGCAGCCAAACTCGCCATCCAATCTTTGGATATTCGTTAGTACGTAATATAGTAAGTCTGTCATTGTAAATGTGTTATAATCGCCATATTGGTGAATATACTCAGCAGGCAGAAAAAATGTATATTCCATAACAACAAAAGATTACCTAATTTTTTGAGTATTTGCACTCAATAAGATATTTGAACATCTATCTGGCCGATTCTATTCTCACTGTCGCACATGCTTTTTACTCACGCTCGTAAACATTGATATACATATGAATTAATGAGTAAATGTATTGGGTCATTATGATAAAGATGGTTGGAGTATTTAGTTTCTTTTTATCAAATATATAATAGATTAGATTAGGATCCGCATATATGCAGGTTTCTAATAACAAAATTTTAAATTAATTAAAATACTTGAAAAAAACATAGAAAATAAAATCAAATTATTGATAAAAAAATATATTAAAAATATAGAATTAGAATTTAAGAGTTGTTTATTTTAATTTTCGTTTGTTTTTAATTACAATATTCAAAACACAGAGTATGTTGTGGGTCTTTAGTAATATTAACTGTACTTCACTTGTAGTTAAATATTCTATCAACTGTTTTTTTCTGTTTCACTGAATTAAAAACTTGTATATGCAATTCGAGTTCTTCTGTTATGTTAACTCTCTCCTCATTAACTCTTTCCAGGAAAATAAAGTTTTACTATCTCTTCACATGCATCTCTCGTATATAATTTTTTTATTTTCTATAGAAGTTATGCTTTTCAAGACTTGTGTCAAAAGCTTTTTTTACATAATTTTTGTTGATCCTCCTTCTCATTGCTCATCATTAGCATCTATGATTTTATTTTCATGTAATCTTGCTTTGCAAATTTTACATGTAATTATTTTGGAATTATCTAATTATTAAATACGAAAAACACTTTAGATGTATGCAATATTCAGCAATTGAATCTTCAAGGATAAAAATTTGGAATATCGAACAAATCATAATTGATAAAAATTTGGAATACCGTATAAAGTGTTTTAAAAATAATACTACAATAAAAGAAGGAAAATTATACCTATAGAATGAAGCTCAGAAATTACAATTTGTTTGGTAAAAAAATATGGGAGATTTTATGTATTTATATAGATATGGATTGTATTTTTGTTTTTTTTTTAATATTCGTTGTTTGACTTTTTTCCTTTCTAAATCAAAATATATCATTTTATTAACTTTTGTTTTTTTTTCTATTTTCTTTTTTCTTTTAGGATCAGCATTCTAAGTTATTTTCCTTTTCTAAACTGAAATGTATCTTTTTATTTCTTTTTATTTTATTTGTAATTTAATCGCGATACATGTCAAAATCTGATCGCTTGACTCGCCATGTGTTGCAATCATGAGAATTACTAATTTTGACGCATCCAACTCTATATAACAAGATAACCTGTATTTATCATGATCTTTTTTACAATATACAAATTTTTTGAACATATTGATTACATAATAATAATGTTGATATGCGTTATTAACTTTCGATAAACAGTGCTATCAATTATTTGTTAATAATAGAGTTTTCAGATCAATATCATTTTATATCAATAACCAAAATATAAAAAATTATGAAATATTTATGCTCACAGACACTTTTTCATACTTTATTCACATGTTTACACACTTTAAGCATGTGGCACACTTTTGATTTTGAATTGGCTATTATACACCTACATGCTATTACACTATTTTGGTAACAAATACATATCTTTATGCCTTCTGTAAAAATAAACATAATTCACGCCGAACTTAACCCTAATTTATATAGCCGCCTCTATAGTTTGCCGGAAATCTTTCATCCACCTGTTTCTCGCTCCTCCATATGTATCTTGCCGGCCGGTTCAATTGTTGTCGCTGCTTGCACAGGTTTTTACTTGATCATATAGAGATTTCTTGTCTCGGTTCATCAGAAATTGCAACCTGTTACCAAGAACACCTACGATTTTTAAGTTAGATACTCAAGCAAGTTCTAATATGGAATGTACTTTTCATTAATTTCTCTCCTATTCAGTTTATTCGGTTCATTTCAGTCCCGTAAACTCTCGTTCTCCTCTCTCACGAGTTGTTGTGGATGTCTGTAGGCTCATATTTAGTTTTAAGTTTTACACAAATAATGGCCATCCATGGCCAGTTATCCTTAGTCTTGCAATCTCATCCATCTCATGTTTCTCATCAAAATGTATCATATATCCACTTGTGTCGTCCTTTATTGAAGGATCCACCATATTAATTTCAGATCTATATTGTATTGTCCATGTGCAGTTATGTTTACGATTCTCTCATATTTTACTTTCAGTTCAGCAATGACCATCCATGTCCTGTTATCCAGTCTTACAGAATTTGCTATAATAATTACTTATCCACTGCTACATATCCATCCGTTGAATATCAATGGGCTGCTGTCCATATCATACCATGACTCCATTCCACTGAGTATTATATATCCATGGCCGTGATGGTCATATCTGTATTGAATCATACATGTCCCTATGCTTTTTTTGGTTTCCATCCATTGATCGGACACTATGAGCACTCATGTTACAATCTCTTGCACACAAAAATCATAATATGTATAATATTAGGTTTTTATCAAAATAGTCTTGTTTTGTTTTTTCATTTACACACACTACATTTTGATTTTGAACACTTGGTTGTTTATAATCAAAGACAAAAAAAAAATTCCAATGATAAAATTTCTATTTAATTTTATTTATAGAAACGTAATGTGATTGTGCTTGATATTCTATCCATCAAACAACATACATGATCAGATAATGAGCTTGGTTACGAAGGATCTAGCTTCGAGTAAGTGTTATTCAATATGATTTCCATGTTTTGTAATATATGAGATTCTGTATTGTTGTATGACTGAATTTTGGATTATGTGCAGCGAATTGGATGAGAATTTGCAGAAGGCGTGGACAGGCTCTCGGCTGAAATTAGGCCGACAAAACTTATTGACAGGGACATGTGTTTCATGGATAGGTTGTCGTGGATATCAGGTTTTTATCTACTCATGGATAAGTTTTCGTGGACATGTTCCTTTGTAGTGCAAAGCTTTAGAGCTCTCTATCAAATTAATGTGTGAGACTGGATTGTATCTCTTAATCTTATACTTTTTGTTGTATCGTGTGTTTTCTCTATTTTAATTTGTTGTCTTTCTCTATCTTGTAAATCATTTGATAATGATTTATAATGATTGTCTATTTCAGTTGTTAATAGAAGAGGCATGTAATAGTTATGTCTTTGAGAGAAAACTAGATAATTATTTATACTTCTAAAATAATGTAGCCAACAAAAATATCATACAAATATATTATATATTATTTTAAAAAGATTATAGACTAGTTAAGATGGATGGTCATATATCTGCAAACATTCGTGTGAATGGTCATAGATGTTGCAAAATTTTATTGTTTTTACTTCTCCAAAGTTTCATGTCCTCATCTCATGTCCATTATCGCATGTCGATTCTCATCTCCATCATCTCATATTCTCATGTCAATTTTCCTATCCATTATCTTTTGTCTATCATATACCCTCCTCAAAAATTTGTCCACTGGTTTTTGTCCATTTTCTTTTGTACAACACTATTTTTACAATATCCAAAATACAATCTCTTCCATGCCCTATTATAAATGTGTTTTGATTCATGAAATTGCCTTTAAGGTATCTACAGTAATTGCCTTCAGTTACACACCTGAATGGACATCAATTATTGTACAACCTTGCATGGACACCATGTTCTATTCTTCTCAAAATTATACATGTGCCTCCATCTCTGCATTAACGAAGCAATCCACCATCAAACCCCGCAATCAAACATGAAGTCTATGCTTTAGCATTTCTTGAACCGATTTACAACGTACAAAAAACACTGGATCATTACTATTTTGACCACCTATTTGGCTGATTCTACTATCACTGTCACACATGCTATTTACTTACGCTCGTGAACATTGACATACACATGAATTAATGAGTAAATGTATTGGATCATTATTTATAAAAATGGTTAGAGTATTTAATTTCTTTCTGAATAATTTATAATAGATAACCTGTATTTATCATGATCTTTCTTACAATATACAATTTTTTGTGAATATACTTATTACATAATTACAATGTTGATGTGCATTATTAACTTTTGATAAATAGAGTTACCAATTATTTATCCACAATAGAGTTTTCAGATCAATAGTATTTTATAGCAATAACCAAAATATAAAAAGTTATGAAATATTTACGCTCAAAGATACTTTTTCATATTTTATTCATAGGTTTGCACACTTTGAGCATGTGGCACAATTTTTGATTTTAAATTGACTTTTATACCCCTACTTGCGATTATACTATTTTGTTGACAAATACATATTTGTATGCCTCCTCTAAAAATAAACACAATTCATTCTTCTGTCATTAAGAAAGAACACCGAACTTAACCCAAGTTTATAAAACCATCTCTACAGTTTGCCGGAAATTTTTCCTCCGCATGTTTCTCACTCCTTCATCTTTATCTCGCTGGCCGATTCAATTTTTGTCGGCGCTCGCACAGTTTTCTACTTGATCATATAGTGATTTCTCGTATTGATTCATCAGAATTTCAACCTATTACCAAAAACACCTCCAATTTTTAAGTTAGATACTCAAGCTTTTACCGATATGAAAGGTAGTTTTCATTAATTTCTCTCCTATTCGGTTTATTCGGTTCATTTCATTTCTGTATACTCTCGTTCTCCTTACTCCCGACTTGTACAAATCCCTGTGCACCTCTGTTTTGTTGTGGATGTCTGTAGGCGCATACATTCCAGATCTATATTGTATCGTCCATCAGCAGTTTGGTCTACGATTCTCTCACATTTTATTTTAAGTTTTACACAAATTAATGGCCATCCATAGCTGGTTATCCTTAGTCATGCAATCTCATCCATCTCACGTTTCTCATCTAAAATGTATTATATATCCATTTGTGTCATCCATTAATGCAGGATCCGCGATATTAATTTCAGATCTATATTGTATTGTCCTTGTGCAGTCATGTTTACGATTCTCTTAAATCCGACTTTCAGTTCAGCAACGACCATATGTGTCCTGTTATCCATAGTCTTACAGGATTTGCTATATAATTATTTATCCAATGCTGCATATCCACCCGTTGAATATACATGGGCTGCTATCCATATCATACCACGACATTCATTCAGCTGAATATTACATATCCTTGGCTGTGATGGCCATATCTGTA